AAGGATTCAATGAGATCACGTATGTAAAGCATGTAAAACTTAGCATATATAGCTCCTAGCACATAGTAAGTACTCCATCAATGCCAACTATTAATATTTTTTAAGTAGAGGGACACCTGGGTGGCACAGTTGGGTTATGTCTGCCTTCAGCTCAGGTCATGATCCCAGGGAGCCTGCTTCTCCCTCTCCTCCCCACTCATGCTCTCAGCCATTAGCCTACATTATCCTCTCAGTCTGTTTCCACACACAAATGGAATGATCTACAGAAAAGTAGATTCCTTGAGTGTGCTAGAAGAAATTCCTATTCCATACGCCAAAGATTTGCCAGTACCTCATGAGACTTCAGCATCATGCTGTGAAATCCTTCTTGGAAAGGAAGGGGAAAAAGTGTTAAAGTTTTTAAAAATGGAAATGCGGGGGCACCTGGGTGGCTCAGTTGGTTAAGCATCTGCCTTCGGCTCAGGTCATGATCCCAGGGTCCCCGGATCAAGCTCTGCCTTGGGCTCCCTGTTCAGCGGGGAGCCTGCTTTTCTCTCTGCCCCTCCTTCCTGCTCTGCTCTCTCTCACTATCTCTTTCTCTCTCAAATAAATAAAATCTTTAAAAATTTTTTTTAAAAATGGAAATATGGGAAAAGGTGCCACTTAATTGACAGGCTCAAATGTTGCATATTCCCCATCCTGAGAATTCCTTTCGTCATTGAAATAGGTGATTGTAGGATTCCCAAAGAATGTTTTTGGAATGTGACCCCCTTATCTTTTTCAGGAAGGGATGAAAGCTGTCAGATACATATGGACAAGGGTTGGTGATGTGATACACAACTAAAGAGTGTAATAATTTCTTCTTTTTATGGATTGCTCTGGTAACACAGATGCTGGAAATTCAGTTTAACCTCTCTTCCAGGGGAGGAGAATGACACAGGGTAGTTAAGAGAATTGCCCAAGGACAGGCAAGTTTCCTTCTTGGACAGGGAGGAGATGAAGGAGAGGGTCTCTGGGCCAAGTCCATGTATCCTGCCAGGCAAACCAACCTGTGAGCCAAAACCTACACTAAACAAGTTCATTGTTTTCACACCTTTGTTTTTATCTTCCCTTAGTTTTTAAAGTAAATGTACTGATGAATTTCTCTAACCATGTCTGGCTAAAATTAGAGGGAATAGGAGCTGGGAAGGGTTTAAAGTATAAGCACACCAGCCCTGCAGTCTGGAGGTGGCAGCTGGGCTCGGGGAGCTTGAAGGTGAGGGTGGAAGGGCGACTTTGGACATGCTTTGGGAATCCT